AAAAGTTCCCAGCACCTACACTTCAATCCCATCGTGAAGCTGGGGTTCCGAAACATCGTTTGAGAAGAATCTCTGCTTTCCACACGAACAGCACTTTTGGAAGCTGCGAATCGAAAGTCCGTGTAAATATTTGTAAGTGGACAGGCTACCGGAAGCGGCTCGGTTCTGGATGCGATCTCTTATACTACCTCTTGACAACAAAAATCCCAAAAGTATGCCTGAACACCCTAGCAACTACAAAGACATGGCCGCTGAAGCCGAACCAGAACAACCCAAACCGCAGACCCAGGCCCACCAGTAAAGGGAACACAACATCTCACCCGCCGGTAGTGAGAACGCAGGGATTCCCGCCATCAACCCCAAGTCCCTAACCCATTCGGAAGCAAATAGAACTGGTTTAGGAGTTGGGTCGGAGTGGGGACGGTCTACCACATACCCCACAGTTACCTACGTTGCGGCGGACCATCACATCAACCCATCAACCCATCTTGGACCTCGGCATAGATGGCAGGCATCTGCAGCTTGAACGGATCAGCGGGATCTTCAAAGTAGGACAAGATCATCCTCATAGCTTTGGGTATTCAGCTTTTACCAGTTTACATTGGAGGGATTCTGCCGGGAAAGGTGAAGAGTGTGGGGTCGAGGGTTGAGGCTCATCTGGGCGACAATCATGTGTGGGGGTGCTCATGGCACAGTTCCTCACAGTATTACATATGAGCTATAGTCTAAACTCCTAGTATCCCCCTTAGTAACCCCTATAGCAGTCCCCTATATAATCCCCTATATAGCCCCATTTAAGGAGTTTAGACTATAGCTCATATGGAGATTTTGAGTCCCAATGTCAATCAAACAGCGATGATAAAGATTGCTTGATCTCTGGAAAGTCTGCACAGAACCCGTTGAAACTGTTCTGCAGAAGATGTTTGCAGAGGAGTGGCTGCTATCCTGCAGGCTCCCATATCACGTAGGGGTAAGGGATAGACATTGTCCAGGGCCTAGCATCCTGCGAATCCCAAACCTCAAACACACTCAACCTAATCTTACATGCTTACTTCAAAAGCGATCATGAAGTCTCTTCTTGCTCTGCCTCCTGTTATGTGTTTGATATGATCCTGGTTATTGCAATGGCTGCTAGTATTCCCATGGTGATTAGCCAGGCATCTGCATTGTTTCATGCTTGGCTACGAACTCGCCGTGCAAGGCGTTGACGCAGAGGTCGAAATCCTCAAAAACGATTCTCGCCTCGGAAGGTGCCCCAGGAAGAAGCCATCATTAGGAAGGGTCCCTACTCAAGACCCTGGTGAGAGAAAGGGGTTGGACTATCATGCTGTCAGAAAGAAGAATCAGGGTCTACAGATAGGAGTACCCAGAGGAATCCTAGAGACAAATGAGAGCCTCAGCTCAATGCACTTGAGAACCTCGAAACTTTGAACAAGGCTGATGCATAGGGACGTCGCAAGAAAAATGCTTCCTCAAGGGACCTTCAGGAATGCCGCGGTTTCAGAGGTGCAAGGGGGCTTAGACATTGCACAGCAGTCTTGAAGAAGTTAAAATCCTTGAAGAAGCCGCTTCAGGCCTTGAGTACAAACTCAAACTTCAGCTCAAAGACATACATCCCGCGGAGAGGGCAAATACAGAAACTGGCACTCTTTCCGCGTTTGGGTCCTCGTCCTTCCCCAAAGCTACACAACCCAGCAAACCATGTTGGGTGTCTCATAGACGCTAAACTCGTAGAAGGAATGAATAATGTGTCTATCTGCACAAGCTTTAATACTGAGAACAGTCTTAAGCAAAGTCTGAGCAGCCGATTTGTCAAGCTTCTCCACGCCGTCAGAGTCCTTCGCAATTCGTCGATTGATGTTCCTCGGCTAGCTTCTGCTCAGGAAATTCCTGATACAACCGACGTCAACCGAACTCGTCCGAATGCGGGGGATTTTTTTGGCATCCCCAAACCTTTCCGTTGGTTTTGGACAATTCAAAGGTATAAAGAGAATACGCTCAGGAATTGCCACAGAGATCGGCTGCTTGATTACTATCTGGTTGTATGCTAGAAAAACTTGCGGAACGAGTTCCCAGGCTTTGCATCACGTTTCGAGGGCTCGACTCAATCTGAGCCCAAGTTGTAACATGGTGAGGGATCGCAACTACGTATGGATCAACGAAAACACACTTTGCAAATCTGTCAATCCATGCTTGAAGTGAGTACCAAACCATCAACAATGAATCCCTCTACAGCCAAAATGCTGAATCCTGGACCTCTGCCGTTCCAAACCCCTGCACCCAACCTCAGCAACCCCCTGGACGACTGACCCCCAAATCTCTTCGTCTTCAGCCTTTGCTTGAGACAGGATTCACCATGCAAGGCGTGATCTCCTCCAGAAACTGGCTGGCTTGATCTGTCATCTGATTCCTTCCATGCCAGGTTCCCTACAAATCTGGGCCCATGCCCTCAACAAGGCATCATTTTGTGGGGATCCTGGGCTGGGCCCTAATTTTCATGGGCGCCGCTACTGGGAATTGGCATCCGGAACTTAGAGTGTAAACCAGCCACCCCGAGCCGTCCCCTGATGTCAGAAACACTTCCAAAAACCTAGCATGCAGCTACTGGGGTGGCAAAAACTGGAGCAGTAATCCATGACTTCTGTAAGGGTCTACGGTTGGGCTTCTGTTGGCATTGAAGACTCGTGAGATGTGAGAGGGGTTTCCCCTGGGTTGCTAGGTATCCTAGGCTTGGGTTCTAAGCTTGGGGTCCAACGCGTACGCTTTGCGGTGTCCAGCGTGGGAGGTTATGATAAAGTCAGCAAGATGGTTGGTTATCCATGGTATTGTCTCCGTGGGCCCATGCAAGATGATGCAGCCCCAGCATGCCCTAAGAAAACACGCGGACATGGCAGGAAGCTCTAGTCCATAGAAACAACTTACTGCAAGCCTCTACAACCCACAACGCGAAAGCCGGCTAAACTGGACTCAAGACAACAGACTGTACCCCTGAACTAAAACTCAACGGCCATAGGCCCTAGACCTGCGTCACTGTGGCCGCAAAGATTCAAGAAAAGATCGAAGATGAAGTGCCGGACATCTTTCCCTGCAGCATCCTTCAGGGAGCCCCAAAAAAAAAGCAGATGAACTTTTCTTGCCTTCTTTGAGTAAGTAGGGGTTCCCGGGGACTCTCATCAAGCTCCACCTCGCTGTAGGGTTCTGGGCGCAACTCCTGAGACCTTCGAAGAATGCCATGGAAGTCTCACGGGCATTGGCAAGAACAAAAGAAGACAACACTAAACGAGACTACAGTAGGGAATTGGGGCCAGCCTAGTACCTGAAAATATACCAGCACACTGGGCGCAGGCCTGGAGCAGATGAGGGTATTTTTGCCCCAAAAACTCCGAATCCAAAACTAATATTCTGACGCTTATTCCACTTCTTGAACTATTCCTCTGCTTGATTGCTGACATCTTCCCAAAATCATCACTGCTGTGACCGCTCACGAAGACCCTTGCTATGACGACCTTGCCCAGCTCATGCTTTTCCGCCACCACAACAAGCCCAAAACTCCAAACCCTTCTTCGTCCTTGATGCCCTCCAGCTTGCCAAAAGTCTCCAAATCAAAAGCATCAGCCTGCCCGCGGTTTGTGCCACCATTCCTCAGTGTCATCCCAGCTCGGCTTCGGGGCGCCGGCAGTTTGGGATTCTCGGTGGGAAGATAGCTGCTTATCAGGTTACTACTCGTAAAGTCTTGTTCTGGTCAGTGGTATGTTCCACGTTGGCTGTTGACATGTTCAGCCAGGCTTTGCACGCCTGGCCAACTGAAAGGAGGATTGGAAGATCGGAGAACAGGATTCTAAAAGACCGCCATTCTCGTCTGCGCATGGGGCGTGGCAGTAGTGGTCCTGGCAGGTGTCGTAGTGCTGTGCAAGTATATTGCCAGCAGCAGCAGCAGCAGCAGCAACAGCAGCGGCAGCAGCAGCAGCAGCAATGATGATGATGATGATGATGATGGCGATGATGATGATGATGCTGGTGGTGATGATGATGATGTCCGAGGCAATGAGTTCAAGACCAGGGTACCTGCCATGGAGAAATTCTCGAGCCTGTTGCGAACCAAGAGACTGTTCTCTCTGCGGCTGCCCTAACTGTAGGGCTCCACTCCTACATCCAGCTGAAGAACCAGTAGGATTGCCGAGAGCACGAAACCAGGATTTTTTTTACCGTGCAAGTGAACCAAGCTTCAGGGATATGTCTCTTTGAAGCCTCAAAACCCAAGCCCTAAACTTGAAGCAATGGCTTCAGCCCAGGTTCAGGTAGTTGCCCACTGCAAGGATGATTCCAAGCAGACTTGGAAGCATCTCAGACTCTTGAAAGCACTCAACCACTGACCTGTGTTGTTTTGGGCTTGAGGCATGTGGCTACTGTAAAGTGCCCGGGCTTCAATTTTTTTGGCCTCAGGCTGGGGTTTCCGGCGCTGTATGCAAAATCACGAACCTTTCTTGGTCAAGGATACGTAGGAGACAGGCTGAGGGTCCTGAGGGTTCTAGATGGCACGGTGCAGGCTTCACGGCATTGAGATGCATGGATTACTTGCTTCAGCCGCTAATTCGAAGGAGTTGCATTTCCCGACAAGCCCTTCTCAAGTAACGGTGTAATCTACATGGTGCCTAGTGAAACATCCTCCAAAGTGCCCCGGTGATCTGGACCTCATCCTTCATTTCCCCAAACAACTGAGTCTGCAGCCAAAGCCTTCAAACCTAAGCATTGAACAGTAAGCTGGACAGCTTAACGAACGAAACAGCGCAATGTAGATGACTATGAAATGTAATGTAAATGGCCGATGACTACAAAACAGTGGCGGGATTCTAAGAAGACTATCTCTATGTCCTACACTGACATTAGAGGCACACTACCGGTAGTGTTGCTGGCGAGTACAACATGCCCCGACAATCCCAACATAGCGCCACATACTCGTGCCACAGGTACGGACGCCATTAGTAATCATTAGTAAGTCTTCAAGCTCCAAAAAAGGCCAGCGACAAGAAGTCTCGGAGCGCCACATCGTAAGAGGCATGCTGCTCCTTGTAGGACTGCGCAAAGCTCCACACGTCGATGCGTTGCTGGTATGCAGGCATGTTCCCAATGACCCACATAAAGCCTTCGCGAAATTCATGTTCAGAGTTCGGCGTTTGGGGTTTAGGGGCTTCAGGGATTGGAAGAGGTTAGGATTCGGGGCTTTGAGAGCTGTGATGGGGCGGTGAGCAACGTTCGAAAAGCGGAAACATGTAACCCTGGAATCGAGATGATGGTGAACTCCTCTCAATACTTGATTTGTGCCAGGTTCTCCCTGTCAGCACTGCCTCTTTCAAGGCTTCCTTCCAGCTTTGCCACTGCCACTGTGGTGTTCATCAACTGTGGCTGCTGTTCTTCGTAAGCCCCACGCTAGAACCTTGACCCCATTCGCACTATTATTCTGGTTGGGTTAATCAAGCATTATTCAAGCAAGGCAGCTCTCCGGAAGGGCCAGCGGCACATTGGGATTCTTCTGGCGAGCTTCACCCAGCTCCTGCTTGAGGGATTTGAGGGTGTAGGGTTTAGCAGTGCAAGGGTTTGATTTTGGCTCTGGTTGGGGCCGAACTCCGGCCTTGGCACACTGCATGAACTCCAACACTGTAGAGACTGTATCCTGTATCCCCACACATCAAAAGATCCTTGAGCTGCGCAGGATTCGGGCAAGCGTTGTCCTTGACCACCTGCAACATTTCCTGAGCAAAGGCAGTAGAAGGGTTTGAGAGCACTGCTTTGGGGCGTTGTTGGCTTTGGATTTGAGGTTTCGCGCTTGATAGGATTCTCGGAATTCTGGCGAAGGGCAGTTGAGGGCCCGTTGTGGCTCACTAATATGTGCTTACCCGTCACTCCTTGTTTTGGAAGAACCTCTCCCTCCACAACCCTTCCCCCAGCCACCGGTGGAAACCCTGGCCGAGTTTCCAGATCCAGGATTTTGTCATTGAGTTCGTCCAGTGCTTTCGCAACCTTCCGGAGGTAGAAGAGAAACAGTCTAGTTGTTTGCAGGGAATGACGGAATGAAAAAAGAAAACGGAAGTCTTGTGACTTCTTGGGATTATGAGGTAAGGGCTTCATATTAATATGCAGACTGCCTGATTGCAGCTGACTTAGAGTTCGCTCCTGTTTCTAGATACGATCCAGGAAAACCCCAAGAGACAAGAGCTCCATCACTCAACTCTGGCTGAGTCAGGATCCTACATGCCCAAGGCTCTGGAATCTAAACTCCAACCCTCGAAGAGCACGGTAAGGCCATCCTACCTAAAGCTAACGTTTCGGAATGGCTTGCTTCCTGATACTGCTGCTGGAAGAAAATTTATTTGCTGCACTGAAATCCGAGAAAGCACAGGCAACTACTTCCTGAGTCCACTGTGCACAGCATCCCTCTCAAAACCACAAATGCTGCTGTGCTACGATTGTGTTGACTAGTTTGCTGCTGTTCTTACTCTCAGTCAAACTAATCCTTCTGTATTGTAGCAGCATGAGCATGGAAGAAAACCTCAAGGGAAACATTGCCATGAGTCATCACAGCTGCGACAGTTACAACCCCTTTAACTCCGCACCCTAGACTATGGTTATCACTCAGCACAGCACGTGCAACCCAATAGACATGGGAAAATAAAGGTCATAGTTTCAGAATCAGCTGGCCCCCACACCCCATCCAGTCTGACCTAAGTTGAATTACCTGCCTCATGAAAAACTCTGATGCCAAATCTCTTCTGACAACCTGGCAATCTGACTTGCAAGCAGTACCGTGGACCCCAAGACTCCAGACCCCCAATCCCAAACCCCCTAAACTCCCTAAATCCTCCTCCATCGCCCAGCCCTAAACCGCTAGATCCGTAATCCTTGGCTTAGGATGCCAAACTACCAGACCTCGCTGGGCTCTGGCAACTTTCGAAGCGATGCCTCCTTGCCTGAGTTTAAAGGATTTTGGGAGTTTACAGAGAGGTGTTTCGGGGAGGCAAGGATTTGGGGGGGTACGGAGGCGGCCACCCGCTTGTTTTGCCGTAGGGGCTTGGGCTTAAATGTCGGAATTGAATTTGAATCGTACTGTGCAAGATTCGGGAATTGGGGAGCATTATCAAGAAGATTGATAAATAACGGTGGCAAGGAAATGATTGGGTTCCCTGAAACAACCTATCCCAGAGTGCCACTTGGTCAGCGTACAGCTCTAAAGCGATGACATATCAACCATTGCAAGTGTCCTGAATGAATTCTCAGCAGGCCCTGCCTCAATCCCAGGACGAGACTGCGCTTGCACGATCTGGCAGACCCCCCAAAGAAGTCCCGAACAAAATCTGATCCAAAAACATTATAACTTCAAACGTTGAACTCGCAAATCTGAAACAGAACCCGGTTGCCGACCACGATCTGAGGGTCAGTGATGATTCGGATCAAAGTGACCTCCTCTTTCTTCTTCTCACCTCTCGCAGAGCATCGATTTTTCAGCTGCGGGGCGCTGAGGCACAACGGGTAGGATTTAGCGCGCAGGGCGTAGGACGTGCAATGAGTTTGGGGTTACCATACGGGATGATTCCTATCGAGCTATTGGTCCAGGGCGAAATGCCTAGGCCCGGCAACGCTCAGACTCAAGCAAAAGGACTCATGAAGTACGGCCGGACCTCAAGGGCTTGTTGCAAGTATGAGTCTCGCAAACTGCAGGTGGTTGGAGATCGTGTACCCAGGAAGAGCCTAGATCCGGACTCTTGCGTTGGAAGGACACAAAAATCTTCGACAAACAATCGAAAGTTCTGCCTCTGCAGCCTGGCTCTTTCTAGAATTTGGAGCTTTGGAGATAAATCCTACACACCAGGGACCAGGCCCTAACTTTCGAAAGGTCCCTGTTGTGCCATCTTCTTGTGACTGAAAATGTCCAATAGGCCTTCCTCCTTCTTTGGCTTCTCCTTGGCCAGGTGGAATTGTCAACGGAGGCTTAGCTTCAGAAGCCCTAAAACGAGCATATAGGGCTTCTTCTGCCATGTCTCCATAAGGGATTGAAAGCAGCTTACATTTTGCGATTGCACAAGCAAGACTTTGGTTTCGTGATATAGGCTTGTGGTGGCTTGCGGACTTGTGGCTTGCTGCTGTGGGAATGCATTTGAGGTGGGGCGAATGCCTGAACCAAAGATGCAGGGTCTGACCTTACCCTCATCCGGAGTCACCAAATGTTGCTTCAACACCAGCACTGTTTATGGCGCTTATGATGGAATGCTCGCTCTCAAGATCTTAAAACTCAAAACTGTATCTATACTGTGCCAGAGGAATCCCACAGGAAGGTTGTTTCCTCCTGTCCCCGTGCTACTGCTATTTCTCGACAGGGGCTCCCCCTACATCCACCCTGCGTTCCTTGCTTTGATGCAGCCGCTACACTACAGAGTTCAAGAAGGACCAATGGTCTTCAGATGCTTGAAAAACTGATGCCTCCAGCGTGCCTCCGCAATTGCAATGTGACTCTTCAGCATTCTCCAAAAGCAGACCGCGCTAAGCCTCAAACAAACAAATGAATCATTCCTAGAGCCCCAAACACCTAAACCTGCCTAACAACAAAAGCCCCGAAACCCCAGAACGCGCCCAAAGCCACAGAAATGCAGACCCCAACCTCAGAAATCCCAAAGCCTCCAAATCTCCAGAAATGCCAAAGGCCCCCAACAGCACAATAGTGCCGGAATGGAGAGCCTAAAGGTCGCAGAGCCCGTAAAGTTCTTGCCAAGGCCACCTTCTGTGCGATGGCTGCTTTGCTAAATCGTAAGGTGAGCTCTCCGATTGGGAGCTTGTCCTGGGCTAAGAAGCTTGGGATGAGGAGGGAGCCTCGGGTTTAGGATTCTTGGCGGATCTTGGGGGCGCAGGGGTAAAAGAAATGGGGTTACCCTGTTCAGGGTTTGGGGAGAAGAATGAATGTTTAAGGGGTTGGGTCCCAGTTGAGTCCTCTAGGGGGTGGGGGCTTGCAGTTTGCAGGCCTTGCCCTTGGGTCCAGGATTCTGGCGGTCTAGCCCTGTCACGCACTTCCTGTGGGTTTGTGGAAGGCGGATAAGACAAGGAGCCTTTAGATTCAGGGCTGGAAGAGGAAACGCTAGAGCTGCAGGAAAAATCGTGCAATGCATCAGGCAGCTTCATTCTTGGGAAGGGAGGATTGAGACCTTCGAAGTGCCTAGAACTATGTATAGCGACACATACATGGGAGTAGCTGCCAAACTCCAATCTCCTAATACAGCTGGAGGCTGGAGAATTCCCTGTCACCTATCATGGCACAGTGCTCCTTCAAGTCCGAAGCCTCATCAGTCCTGAAACAGCCCAGTGTCCATGTCATCCTTCACCTCATCCCAGATGGTCTCGCCTGGGCATTTTGGAAGGAAAACAAATTGGGTTTATGATCTGATTCTGTGACCTGGGCTTATTGAGGCATGTGCCTGGGGATCCTACACATCATCAATAGCTCCCCGGTGGGAACAACCCGCCTACCTGGGTTAGAGTCCGAGGCTTGGCTTTTTGCTAATCTGGCTAAGGCTTGTTCTCAGGGAATGTTGAAGTGTAGGGCCGCCCAAGGATCCCCAATTCGTAGCTTAGAGAGCCCCACAAGCATCTTGAGATCTTCAGGGGACGCTGTTAAGCCCAAACCCGAAGCTCAGACCCTTCCACCAACAGGACGTCCTCAGCTGAGCCGACAGCCTGAAAACAATGTAAGTTCCACAAATCAGCCCAAAGACTCTGACAAAAGCGTCGCATTTGCCACATAGCCCAGACCAAGCCCAAAAACAAAGCAGATCAAGATCTCAGCACCCCTAGGCCCCCAATACCCTAATCTTGCCTCAGCCCCTTTTTCCAAGGTGCCCTTTTGCAGCTGCGCCCCGAAGAGCATTTTGTTCCACCACAGAGGCTTCATCTGCTGCGAGGGCTTTACCTGAGCCAGGTGGGCTTCTCGCTCCTCTTGCTCCTCTTTTGTGTCTAGTCTAGGGCTTTAGCACTCTAAGAAACATGCCAAGAAACACGAAGAGAACTGAATGCTCCATATCGAGGGAGGCGATTCGTCGAAACAACCGTATTGTGCTTTGGGCTTACCGCTGTAAATGCAAAGAATCGAAATCGCAATAGTACTTTGCGAAATACTTCGACTGCACCTTGGCTGGGTATAGTCAGACTCGAGCTTGGATTCATCCTTCGAGGAGGAAGAAGAGTTTAGGGGTCGAACTGATTTTCGTTCAGCAGTGTAGGGCATTCGAGTTCCCAGGGCCTTGAACTAGTACGGCACTACTAGCTCTGATTTCTTCAAACCCCTGCACAGGCTTTGACCGATCGTCATATAGTTCACGGCAGACAAAAACTAATGCACCCAACTTTGAACCTGAAGCCCCGGCCCCTGCGTCCCCAAGTAAACACAAGTACCCAAACCCTGAATCCTCCATCCAAAGCACAGCAGGCTTCGTCTCGAGCGATACACCCTTGCCGGGCTTGCCGCCCTGCAGGTCAGGGTAGTTTTGGATGCCTGACTCAGGCCTTGGGGCTTGGGTGTAGGGCTGACATAGGGGCTCTTAAAATCACAGGCCGCTTCTTGCTGATCACTATGATCAGGAGCCTAGTATTGGGAAGTATAAGACGGATCAGCTGTCGTTCTCAGAAACTTGCATATGGTAGGGTCTTGGTTTGGGGGATTTGAGGGCTCGATGGTGTAAATATTCATGTCAAGTGGGGCTCCAGACTCAGACGTACCTTAAAGCCGGGGTTTCGCTGAACCGGCACTTCATAATCAAAAGCACAGGCGTAGAAGCTGGGGACCCGAATCGATGATCACGTCACACAGCTGTCAACAGAAGCACACATAGCGTCAGCCATATGAGCCATTCACGACAGGGGACCAGGTTCAGTCGGGCTCAAGTCACTTCTGATGGTTTACCGTCTTGTTCGCAGAGGTCTGAAACTGCTTGAACTCTTTTGCAAAGGCCCTTCATAAAGACTTTGGGTAGACCTCTGGGGCGATCCTACATTGCGCAACACCAGAGTCCTGGCCTTTCCTCCTTTTGCCCCCCCTTTAGCTCCAGGAGGCCCTCCTGCTTTCACAGTCTGAGGGCTTAGAGATTTGGAGGTTTCGTTTTGGGATCAGCAGATAACCTGAGAACCAGTGAGAGACTTCAAGGAATGTGTAGTCTGTTGGGTGGTGATGGCATTAATAAGGCTCATGTGTCTAGACCTTCAGTCAAGGACTCGTGGCTCTTAGTCTGCGAGCAGGAGAAATGAGCTATGGTCTAAACTCCTTGCCGCACTCCTACTATCCCCCTCAATAACCCCCATTATAGTCCCCTATATAATCCCCTCTACAACCCCCTTCATAACCCCCGTATAGGCAGCTTAGATGATGGCTCAAATGGAAACAAATGGGGTGTTGAACCCAGAGCTGCACATGGCAGTTGCACTGTATGAAGCTATGGGCTCTACTACACAAAACCGGGCCAGAGGTCTCCTTCTATACTTCAAATGAAAGAAGGAACATGTTGCAAACCGCGATGGGTTTTTGTCATCTATATTTCACATAACCAAGGAGCGTGGTGCAACTTGGGGAGGAACCGTTCCATTTGGGACACACGGATCCACAGAGCCTGCTATCGCAGCAAAGCATGCCTTAGAATCAAGAAGGAGCAAGGGTTGGAGCCTCGCAAGTGTTGTAGGACTTATACACCAGGGCAAAAACGAAGCTCAAACCTTATGCACTAGCCCAGCACCTGAAACCCATAAACCAAAATGCCCCAGCATCATCCTAGACCTTTGAGCCTCCGCCTTTGAAGCTTGCGCTTACTGGTTTAGCCAACACCCACTAGACCCCCAAAAAAACCTTGAAGTAAGAGACCCGTTAAACTATTGCATTTCGGTAACTGGCAAGCAAAAGGAACGTCCAAAGCCCAGTTCAAGCCCAAATGATGGAGTCCAACGAAGAGAACCTGCAGAAACTACGATGAAAAGCTTGGATGCTTCGTGGAAAGGACTCCCAACTTCAGAACGACACCTCTCAACCCTAGAGCCTAAGCCGCGCATTATCAAACCCTGTATCGTGACCAAGAGCTTGAAGGGTTGAATCTTATTCCGAAAATGGTTGATCAGAAACTCACGAATCAAGGCCAACCGATGTTGCATAGCAGCATGGTGTTCTTGGACAGTTCACACAAGAACACCATATGCCGGGATTATTTGCGAAGAATGCTGATCTTCGAGATCATCAGTGTCTGTCCTGGGCCTTTGCCAGCTGGCGCTGCCGGGCCTTTGCCCCCGCCGGGTGCTGGCGGACCCTTCCCAGGGCCCTTGGCAGGGCCCTTAGGACCTTTGGGGCCTTTGCCAGCCTGCAGATTGCAGTTCAAAGGTTAGCAGCTTAGACTCTGCTTCAGGTCAGTGCCATGATTCCTTGCTACTACTGCCGTTGGTGCCACTTTGGCTTACTAATTAGCGCAGTTGCGAATCTTATGCAGTCCAAGGACTTCAAAATTGGAGCTTGCAACCTTTGCGCAAAGGCACGTGAGTTGCGCTGTTGGCTTGTGCTTGGCCTCTGGCTGTCGGACTTGGACATATCACTTGGCTTGGTGCATTGCTTCGAGATTCGGACTCAGGGGTCAAACGGGGGCCTGGAAAAGCGCTTGAAGCCTCTGCCCTTTTCCCCTACAAACCTACAGAAGTGGAATGGGCTCCTCTACGAAGATGACCACGAGGCGGATAGCTCTGCTTCAAATGTGTAGGCTCGTAGACTGCATCTACTTGAATTCTGCTCATGACGGCAGTTCCTGTTGCAAATTCTGTAAGGTTACTAAGTCACTAAGTGCATCAGAAGGCAGCTTCCAAGAAGGCTCCCAGGATTTGCCTCTAAGCACTTGTAGCTGGAGTCAACAGAATGGGAGCCCGGCTGAAAATCAGCAGAACCTCAACTAACTTGCACTTTAAGCCGGGGACCCTGAACCTGAAACTCAAAACCAGAAACTCCAAACCCTAAATCCTTCAAGAACAAAGATGAAGGTGGCACTGTTGTATCTTTCATCCCACCCATCCCCATAACCCCTAGAGAACCCCGGAGCCCAAACTCCGAGCCCCAGAAACCGTGTGACCTTGGGAGCAGCTTCCTCGGCTGCACCTTCTGCTTTTGCCTCTTCAGCTGGTGCTGCGCCCTCGGCTTTCCTGTGAGAGAGGAAACAGATTGCAGTTTGTTAAGATTGGGGTCTGCCTATATACCTTAGAGATGGAGATCCTTCGCAGCGTGAGGATGCGCGAGAAGAAATGGTGCGAATCCGGAATCAAACACTTCGGAAAGCAACTTAGCGCTAAACCTCAGACAGACCACCCTGAACCCCAAAGACCTCAATACAAACAAACAGCCCTCATCCTCACAACCCTGCCACGCAGCCCCTCTGGAATTCTTGTATTGCTACCATACAATCCTCTGCTACCAATGCGTGCCCAAGCTTCGGCATTGGTGGGCCTTTGCCTTTGCCTCCGGGAGGAGGCGGCCCTTTGCCCTGCGCTGCGGCCAGGGAACTAGAATTTTGATCTTCTAACAATAAACAAGTACAATAGAGTAGCTTCCATTGTCTTTTCCATCATCCCAAAATATGCTCTATGTATATATATATGTATATATCCTAACCCCTAAACCCTATTAGTTCTTCAAAGTTTGCGTAAGGCTTCTGGACATGTCTGGGGCCAAGAGTCTGGGAGTCGGGCTCGCAGTTGAAGGCCAAAGCTTTTCGTCTGCTGGACACTTAGAATTAGAAGCTTATGTCTCCTCCTTGACCCTCCTTATACCTCTCCAGGTCGTTTAACAAACTCTGAGAAAAGCAACATTGCGTGCAAGGATGTTGATTGAAGATATCGGCCTTCACAGAACGTAGGAAAGAATATCATGCCTGTAGCGATACTTCTCGTGCCCCTGGTTGATGGCAGTGTTGCTCCTTGTTGCGACCCAGAGCTGAAGCTCATGATCTCTGAAGTGATATCTCAGACAACAGCAACATTACTATTACTGTGAAACTGACAAACATTTCTCAACCACTGAATCCCAAAGCTGCAGGTCCCCCGTCGGGATTGCAGGAACAAATCTACAATATCTGTCAGACGCCATTGTAAACTGTCTTCCAATCGGTTGTGGTCCCATGCTAAAGCCCAAGCCCGGTTCTGTTCTTGTTGAGCCCGCGATCCATCCATTGGAGCCTTGGCTTTGCCAGCTTTGGGCGCAGGAGCTGCCTCCGTCGACGCAGGCGCATCCTTGCACACCCAGAAAATTTCACGTGTTAGGGTTCCGAACCGAAAACCCTTCACGCTCAACCCACAAGCATCAACTGAGTCCTTTCAAATCACGGGCTTCGGTTCGTGACATGCCCATGACGTGATTTATATAAGAGTGGAGGGCCTGTTCGAACCTTGGGGCTGCGTGGGGATTGCAGCGGAGACTACTTGCGCGTCTTCGTCTGTGACACAAACCCTTCTTTCCAATGACTCAGGCCTCTGTTCATCCCAAAGCTTTATGTGCCCTGTGTATCTCCAAAGCACAGGCCCAATAATCCTGAACAACTATCACTTTGAAAAAGCAAACATCCAAAAAAAAATCCGTGCCCCCACAACCCATTGACCCTTGATCCCTTCCCCAACCCCAAGCCCTAAACCCTAAATAGTAGTTTCCATTTTATTTTCCATTTATCCCAAGAAAGCCCCAATACATCCCCTATAGTATAGTAACTCGAAATCTCCTCCTTCGCCACTGAGCCCAAGTCGTCTTCCTTGTGGATGGAAGAAGCCAAAACTCAGACATTGACATATCTGGGGATAGTGGAAAAGAGAATGGAAACTACTCTAATGGGTTGGGTTATATAGGGTATAGAATATGGGGTATATGGGGTTCTTATTATATGGGGCTTGAACGAGGAAGCTCCCCCCCAAAAAGGGTGGGGAAAAAATGCTTTTGAAGTGCCATGTTCAGCTTTAGATTTCAGGCCTGGCATTCACTACTGGTATTGGTTCAGCACGCCAATTTCTACTCCTCCAAACAAAGGTAGAAGCTAGAGGCAAACATGCAACAATCTCCAGTTCGTTCATGTGCCTCTTCTATCCACTTAAGGCAAGCTGCAAGATGTTGGGGCCCCTTGGCTCTGTCCTTTGAAAAGTTGGGGCGTCGCTTCCGTCCAAAGGATAAAGTCTTTCCAAGAGTTCAGGGGACACAGCTTGGTATAGAACCTTCGGAAGGCCACTGTTGCCCCACCCTCTCCAAATCTAACATCAAAGTTGCAAACCTTGTGGCCACTCCATGCCAAAACTCCCTTCTATGCCCAGCCTCGGTGGCTTCGGCCTTGGCTGGCTCTTCGGAAGCTGCTGCACCTTGGAGCTCGCATGCCGAACTCACAAAGCCTTCATGCTGAGCTTTAAGACTTACCCCTTTGCTCGGGTACAAGCCCTGACTTGCGTTGAGACATGCCTCATATCCATATGTGTATATCTTTACATCCCCGTGGATAATGCTTTTGGAATTTGAAAGATACGTATTAATGAGTATACAATGATGCCTAGCCTAGCCCCAATTACTAGGGGACCTCCAAGAGGGGCCCCTCCCACTCCTGGGCCACGGCCTGGAGGTGGAGGGCCTTTCTTTCCTTTTCCTCCGGGCCTGGGTAGTGGAGTAGGAATTGAAGGGGCAAGGAAAGGGTTACTTGGGGGTGACAGTAGGATGACTCTGGTGATGTAGCTAGGGGACATGTAGAACTCATTCTATTGGTAGAGGGGGCTCTTGATTACAATAGAAGTGGTCCGTTGGGGCTGCTTGCTGGGCTTCAGGGGGTTTCAGGGTGTGGTGTAGAGCCTGGGACTCCAGGGCGTAGCAATTTGGTTGTTTTCGTGGTCGATGCCGCAGGGGCCCAGTATACATCTATACAAGCAAGCAACAAAGACCCTGCCCCAGGAGGTGTAGAGCTTCCTAGTGACAGTGAAGCTTCCTGCAGCAATCCCTAGTTGCAGTGAGATCCCAAACAACACACATACAGCAATACAGCAATGCTCAGTTGCCGACCCTGGTGGGCCTTTTCCTTTCGCCTTCGCCTCCACGAATCACCAGCCCAGGTGTTCGTGATGAGGTCCAGGGGTGGCAGGTCTTTAAAGTCTACCGGGCTAGATTCTTTCCGACTTGGGCCTGGCAGCTCTGTTCTATCATTGGTACGACTCATCACTTCTCAAAACTGATGAAAAACCTTCCTTTCGGAACTTTTCTGACGAGATAGTATGGACCTAGTTGTCTGGAATTGAAGTAATGAGGATCCAGGAACAGCTCGGATAGATTACATGGCTTCGAAGGAGGTGCAACTTGAATCTACATGGCTTTTGAGGCTACAGCGGGACACAAAGAGATAGAACCCACCAGCTAGTAGTAAAAATTGTTCAGGAAGCCTTCGGCCCTCGGGAAGGCGGAGACGCTCCTTTACGATTGCGTGTTCTCTTGGGATTCTCTAAGGTCCCCACCGAACCCATTAGCTTTGAAACCACCTCTCCCAAGAAACAACCCAAATTCTGATCAAAATCCCTAGGCCTAAACTGCAAATCAAGCCCGGACCCAACTCCAAGCTCAAAGAACAAAAGCCTCCTTGTCCTGCCTCACGTCAAACAGCTTATTGAGCTTGAACCCCGCACACCCAACCCTTGACCCTAGACTAGATCCGAACCTCCATCCCTAAGCCCGATCCATGCTTACTCACGAAACCAGAAGCCTGCGGAGGACTCCCAGCCGAGCCATTGCCGCCGTCCGCCGGCGTTCCCTCTGAGAGTGGCGCCTCCAATGAATGGGATGTTTTTCGGCTCAACTAGCAGGATCTCAAACAGAGCTCCAGGGTCCCCCAACTGAGCAGCGACCCTCTATCAAAGCCAACGGCAAAGCCCCAGCACACTGAATCCATATTCAAACGTACTGAATCGACTAAACCATGATCTTTGAAGACCAAACTTACAGAGCTCCATCAGGCTTTCTGAGCCTTTCAAAAGCTCAGCAAGACCAAAGGGACCACCTGGGCAACTTTGGCCAGGCGCAAGATCATGTCCATCTGCCTGCCCAGGCGCAGGGGTGGGTGTGCGAAGCCTTGATGATTATAATTCATGGTCTACGGTTTGGGGTATGGGGTGTTAGGAACTGCTTCAGGTTGGCGTTGCTGTAATCTACGGGTTGAGAGGTGTGCGTGTTCCTTCAGAAGCATTTATCATGGGTACACATGCTTTTTAAATTGTTTTTCTAAGACTTGCAAGATGCCCGCCAAATAGTGCAATGACGGCTGGTATATGTGCATGTACAGGAACTCCAGGAAGGTCGAAAATGACTGTTCAATGCTTTGGAGCTCATTGCCACATGGCTTCTGAAACCCCTCTTGAAAGGTCTTTTTTACTAAGACCATGATAGATGGATTCTCTGAGGAGATGGATGTACAAATTTAGGCCCGTGGCATGGAAGGTTTGCATTGTGTGGCAACTGTAGGCCAAGCAAAGGCTGCTGGCCCAGTGCTGCCATGCTTCCCAGCACATGGCACTCATCCTCTGAGGCTGGAAACCATATCCGCCTATCTGCCCCAGCCCTAGCATTGCTCAGGAACGCTTACATGCCTTGCGGGCAGTGGAGAGCGGTCTCCCAGTCCGTATTTCTGTCTGCTTCAGGATGACTGGACTATCAACAGTCATAGGCCAACTCCTTTAGGCCAGGATTTATAGCCAGTATCCTGCATAGCCCTTGTGACGTGGGCTTTCACAAGCAAAAGACTGTCCCCATAGACCCTGCAACAGAATAGGCACTCACAACTCTCCGAAGATCCTCCAGAACAACACTGCCTTCTTGTGTGACCCCATCTAATCCGCAAGCAATCCCTGCACCTCAGAACGCAGTGGAGTGAATTGCTTTATGCGGTCTAGGTCCGAGGGCTCAGGGCCTGGGGAACTTCCACAGATCCTGGTGGCCTGCTAGGCCCAAGAGATAGCAAACGGATTGGTAGCAATGCCTCCAGACATGTCGAACCCAAAGCCGGACCCAGAAACTTCAAACTCAAGAGCGCGAACTTTGAGCCCCAACGATGCTCAGGCACTGGGATCTATATCCGACGACGAAAGACAACGGCCTGACTGCCGCAGTTGCATCCGCTTCAGACAGGGCCTGGCAGCAAATG